AAGTCGGGCCACTGCGCAGTTGTTAGCAAGTGATATTTTTAAAGAAATCTTTTAGCAAAGGAAGTTTCTCACCAGAACATAGCCATTCTGTTTGAAAACCGGTGCTTCAAGCCACTCAACCGGGTCCACAATTGGGAAGTTATCCGCATCCAAAAACAACACGTCCTCAAATTTACTCAGAAGAACTGCAAATATCTTATATTGATATTTGGAAATAGTGAGGCCTTCGTATTTTGGAATCATAACACAGCGCGCATTGAGTGATGGTAACACTACTTCACAGGTATGTTCATTGTAATCCTCTGGATTCGGCATGAAGACTTCCACTGGTAATGTAGAATTTGTTCGGCGAAGCATGCGCAGCGAGACGAGTAATGCGCCGGTGAATCTCCCACCTGCTACAGTTACGATTCCTTTGGTACCAGGTTTATATGGAATTAGGTGAGTCGAATTTCGTATTATTTCTACCGCAGATTCATGCGCGAGTCTTGCGGCTTCAACTTGTTCGTCGGATACTGGCGTGACATCTCGACGCTCTGTACTATTTGTGACTTCTTCAATTCCAAGGGTTCGGCCTACACATGCGGCACTTTCGGTAAGTTTTGGTGGTGCGGCTTCATGTAGCCTGCGTACTATATCTGATATTCTTATTTCATCGGTCGTAGGATTTATTGTAATATCGGTGGTATGGATTGAGACATTGAGATTTGTGAGATCGTTCGGTTTATTGTAAGTAGTATAAGTGGTACTGATGGTGAAGCTAGAGAAGGGCTCCTGGAGAAAGACAGGAGTTTCTAAAGACCACAACTGATCTCGAAGAGCAAGATACAAAACGAAGATGACAATGATGAGTATCGTAATCCTTTTAGATAGAAAAGTGGCCAACATCTTGAAGATCAAATGATGCCGTTGTGAAAAATACGAATGTTCGCCGAGTAGAAAATATTATATTACCAGTAAAGTACGGTTCGAATGGGGGATGAGTAAGAATTCTGTACATATCGACGGTGAATGATAAAATGAAGGAATGTGGATTGAACTAGAGTGAATATCTAAGCCCCATCAACGACCATGATTAGGAAAGTAATGAACTTCATTAAATTAAGTTTAGATTTGAAAGGTCAAGGTCCTAGCAAAAGCTTTTCATTATACCTATCGTCTGATATGACTAACTGATACGATGTTCTATCAAAAAAGGAGACATCTGGAATTTCATTGGTGATGTGGGATGAGATAAGACCAATCAATTTCGACGCCACAGTTCGTGATAATTCATAACCTTCCCGAGGTCCTACATGGACAGCACAACTCGCCGGCGCCACTACTTATGACCGTTGAAATAAAGTTTTTATGATACCGAAATTCTGGTGAGATAGAAAGCTGGACGCTAGACAGGGGATATGATCGTACTAAGAACCAAGAGATGTACGAAACAGGGTAGAGAACGCGATAAACTAAACCAATTACAGCAAATTACTCTCATGCCCTAGATTTTCGAAGCTGTTTTACTCCCATGCCCCTTGGATCTCATCTCAAGATGATAGATTCTAGCTATTATCGACTAGATTTTAAGTTCTACGGAAATGAAGATAAAAATGAAAAATCACATGACCTTCCTTCTTTAGAATCTACTCCGTATCATTCTGCCGCGAAATCCATTCATATTATAAAATACATTATGCTACTTTATAGAATATGGCTTATGACTACTAGAATACAACTTTCTGAATACGAAATACATTGTAAAATTTAGGGGATAAGAGAGTAATATATGTAACAATTTTGGTGCATGAGATTAATCTGTTGAAGATTCTAGGGGAAGAGAATAATTTGCCGAGCTACCTATTTATAGTTTAACGTCGAATTTAAGCGGTCGATCTTCTAGTGCATCTCTTGGCATTAAAAACTTCGTATTTAACCTTCTTTCTCATCCCATCATTGGATTCTCATAGAAACTGGACTTCTTTATGTGGGGCTAAAGGAGCTTGATTTGATACGAATTAAGCCATAAAATTCCACCAGAAATGCACCTGTCGTATTTCTTCTTGACACCGTCATAGTCATAGAGCCTACTCAAGTCAAAATGATGACGGGCACAGTAGTTTTTGGTGGCACAATGATTAAACCATTTGTTGATAACATATGAAGGGCCGGCTCTCGCTTCCCAGATGTAAGGTTATCTGAAAGGGGCTAGATGACACAAATCTTCACACTAGATCATCACATGGATTTACGCGATCCATAAAACGACATCGGAGTTATCGGTAGACAAAACGACATTGTCGAATGAATTGCCATTCAAGTCGAAGGGGGAACTCACAATTCTTACATAATCCAATGGGGGCCTCCGGAATTGAATTAATAATGATTTCTGAAGGTTAGGGAGCAAAGTTTTCAAGGCCAACACCTAGTACATTGACCTTATCGAGTCACTGTTCTTGCCAAGTGGAGTCAACAGTTCAAATTTTACATATGATCAAGAATTTTCTTCAATGAGGCTCATCTGCTCTTTATACATGATAATTTGACATGAAAGTGTACACATCGTGGGGTGTTTCAGGACGAATAAACTTTGAGGTTCATTAAGGTTCGTCTGAGCCCCTTTATCTCAAATGTGCCTCATTACTGAGGCCGATTTGAATCATTTGACCAAAACCCTAAAAATTGAATTCTGTCTAATAGAAAAAGAAATTTTAGAATCTGTATAGTGTGTTTATAGAAATCTTATAAAGAAAGATAGAATTTAATTTTATTGAAGATTTTTTGTAAAATGAATTATATTATTGAATAGCTTTTAGAGTTAGCTTTATTTATTTATTTTTAGAATTTATTTTGAGGTTTTCTATAAGAAGTGTATTAATATTTAAAATCTATTTTTAAATAGTTTTTCTTATAATATATAGACTACTTTAAAATAAATGAAACAAATAAACAAGTTTAATAAGAACTTTTTATTTGAAATTTATTTTACTTAAATGATATAACTAATAGAATTTTAGTAAACTTTTATAATATTAAAAGAAAAAAGAATTCAATTCAACGTACAACTTTGAAAAGGCTTATGAAATAAATAAAAAAATAATATAATTATTAATTAAAATTTAAGAAATCAATTAATATAATTACTTTCGAATTATTTCAAAATTTGAAATTGATATCTAATATACTATGATTTTAATTACTTCAATCAAATCTATTTTATGTTAATATTTCAAATATTAAATATTCTGATTAATCAAACCTCAACTAATCTTTTTAATAATATAGAATTTCTTTGATTTAGTATACAACTTTAAAGAAATTAATAAAATAAAAAGAAAAGAATTACAATTATTAATTAGAATTTAAGGAATCGATTGATATGTTTTTTTCTATATTATCTCAAAATTTGAAATTTATATTTAATTTAAAAATAATCTAATAAATTTGAATAATAATAAACTTTCAATATTGAATCTTTTATTTTTCAAATATTATTATATTAATTATAAATTTCAATTTTTGAGATAATACAGAAAAAAATATATCAATCGATTCCTTGAATTCTAATTAATAATTATATCTGTTTTCTTTTCATTTTATCAATTTCTTAAAGATTATATACTGAATTGAATTTTTTTATTTGTATAAAAGTACACTACTAAATTCTAAATACCTTTTTAGCTTAGACAGAAATCTATTTTTAGGGTTTTGGCCAAATGATTCAAATCGGCCTCAGTACTCATGCATGTCAAAAAGATTAGGCCAAAGTAGAACAACGATTATGAAAATAATCATGCATTCCGATCTCAGTGTTTCTTCCTCCCAGAGACCCAAGTTGAAAGCATGTCTAGGTACTCATTCCCTTCAGAACGTCTTGATAAGCTTCACGGAAAACCTGACCGGCGAAAAATCGGATATATTACTTAACGATCCGAGCTCTAAAACATACCAAATTGCGGCGAACATGTACTTGTGGAATGTGGAAGTTTCTGATATGAAAAATCCACAGATAAAGGAGTACCGTGGATTATGTGAAAATTTTGATAAGGTGCTCAAGGGTGAAGAATGGTTGAAATTATACTACTTTCGGTTGCGAGGCTTATTGTACCCGCCATCGAAAGATTCTGCCATACTAATATTTCCATCCCCCTTTCCCCTTCCCCCTTTTCACTCTTGAGAGAAGAAAGCGCGGGTGAATCGAATTTCTTCCCACCGGTCATAGTATTTCAATTTTCGAAGAAGGCATGTGAGTGGTAAGATGCACACTTGCTTTGAATTCTAATGGAGGGGGTAACAAAATTCAGTCATTGTTCCTTCTGACATAATGAAGACATTGAATACATCTGCAGTTCAGTAAACATTGCGAGGTCATCTTTCCACATGGCTGCTTTTCTCTAATCATCAATTTTGACTGAGCGTTATTACTTCTAGTGAACATTAATACACGCACGAAGCATAGTTGTGATGATGTTATCCTTTCTCTTATCCTATGAACTATATGAATAAGTATTGTAAAAGTACTCTGTGAAAAGTTGTTATAGTTCTCTTCTCTTCGGATAGTTGCTGGCTACAGAGGCAAGACGGACTTCTAGCAGATCAATTCTCCCTACACCATCCTATTCTCAAAATTTGACACATCAATTCTCCCTGAGATATAAAAGACGTCTCAGATTATTGTGAATCTGCCCAGTCAAGAATTTCATTATTTTCACATGTACACAAGTGATATTTCAGATTCTCAAAATAAAACATAGTATTTCGAATGGCTCAGCCTGCGGTCCATCGTAGGGTTCTAGCTTTAAGATTCTGGACACATTATTATTGATTTCAAAGATTCATTATGAAACAGTTTTATGATTGAATCCATTCTGATATCCGAAATACCTTTAATATTTAAAGGGAAAAGAACATTTTAAAGTCTCTAATCTTCAAACTACAGTCCGGACTATCGGACGCTGTGATCAGACACAGTCAAGAAGCTGTACGTATTGAAGATTCAGTTGGAATTATTCCACTATTCAAGGGCTTCTCCCTCCTCGCTTCGGTTGTGGGAATACACCTTTCAAGCCGTAAAGTCCTCCTGCAACAGGAGGTGGAATAATGATTCTAAGGGGAGGTTGAGGTTGAACCGGATACGGCTGGGGAGGCTGCTGTGGTTTGACGGGCTGCGGTTTGACGGGCTGCGGTTTGACGGGCTGTGGTTTGACGGGCTGTGGCTTGACGGGCTGTGGATGGATAAGCTCAGGAGCGTTAAGACCAGTCTGAGGCGGCTGGCGAGAACGATCATGTTGAGATAACTGTGGGAGCTGTCGATCTCCTGGCAGGGTAGCTGGTCTTCCACTATTCTTGCGTACAGCAGGTGAAGGCACTCCAGGCGAAATATGGCCAGCTCGGGTCCCAAGTGTTCCATTACGATATGGGGGAATTTTAGGCGGAGGAACTAAGGGTGGAGCTCTACTAGAATGGCGTGAAGTGTGCTTGCTAGGACCGGACCTTCCCTTTCCCCGGTTCCCCCAGTAATAGAGGCCCGCGAGACCACAGACGGTACCCACAACCACAACCACAAGAATAGTACCAATCGTCGTAGATGATGGCATTTTCAAAGCATGTAAAAATTTCTTTATTCTTCGTGGACTATATGATGAATGGTGGGAAGCTTGATTCACTATATATACACACGGCACATCACGATGAGTATGACCAAAAATTGTCTATCTCCATAACACCAAATCTTCTTTGGCTTCATAAGGTACTCATACCATGACCAGATAATCGTGTCTTGTGAAAACAGCTCTCAAAATTTTGTGTTGCTTGTTCTCCAAGATTAGGTGGCACATAAGATTCACAATTTGTTGGCCTATAGACAATGTTGCCAACAAACACTTAATCATCTTCGTCTGATCAAACTTTTACAGAAAGGAGAAAATGACCCGTAAAACATTCTCCGAGTGTACTATTTCCATTATTCCCCTTAGATTCTAGGAAAGTTGCCTAGATTATAGACTCGGATAATCAAGGGGGACATCAGTACGGAAATTACCCATTCATTCTATCAGTTGATAATTCTGGACTCCATTTCATCTAGATGTAGCCCCTTCAACATTATCATCATTATTATTATTATTATTATTATCGTATAAGAAAGAGAGAAAGAGGCATATAAAATAAGATATTTACTAGACAGTAGAATAATTGATTGATTAATCATAAAAACCACTGGATCTCAATGTTTACACGGCTGAAGTGGTTGATATAATTGTAGATCAGAGTAATCATATAAATTAATCAACAGCACACTAATTACTGTTTATCAAAGTATTTAAGCTTAAATCACTTTGTTTGATTTTCAACTCAAGCAAATTGTCGAAATATCATAAACTAAATCCCGGAACTCTTTCAGTGTTACTTCTAGCACTCCGTGCTAACGGAGCGTTTCGGGCCAACCCCACAACCACTGGCTCCATCATCTAGACTTGCCCTTAATCCCCATATTTTCCCCTCTCGATGCGGAGCTTAATTGTAGGACTATTACGATGTAGTTCCTTTAACTTATTTCCCAATGAAATACAACTCCATGATGGATTACATAATGACGGACGATCTTCATTGATCAGATCAGTCTCGATTCCTTGTAAGACAACTTTCTGCCCAATGTGTCGATGTCTCAAATGCTTTTGCGGAATCAGAAATGCGTACTTTCTCTGAAAATCAGAGGTTTGAAAGAAATCATGGCAGTTTGAGGATGAGAGATAGAACTGACATCGGCACAAGATTATGATACGCCAATGCACGACAGACAGCGGAGGTCTTGTTGGCTTAGATTCAAGGCTAATCTGGCCTTAAAAATACCAAACTTTGAAGATCATCGATTTGAAGTATGGTAGTGAGTCTTAGTGACCAGCCACCAGTTTTTCTCGTAGTTTGAGATTGCAATAGGAAAGGATATTCGATACTTTGGATAAGGAATTGTCAATATTGAGTGATAAGGGACTTTTCAAGGTGGTTTAAGCCAGACCATATTTATGGTTGTGAGTATCAATGACATCGACTGATATCAGTAACGTTCTTTGCCAACAATGACTCCTGTAGGATAAACCCCGGTCACCAAAAGTACACACCAATTTCAATATTCGATATCAATTCAAAAAATTGTTATTCAGATACACAAACTGACTGAAAATTCCAGTTTCTCATACAATGTGTATTTTGAATCATTTGTATCTTCATTAAAGGATGATATTATGAAGGTGCAATGTAAGTGTTCTCAATGTATCAATTTATTCGACTCATTTAGTGTACCGCTTTTTTTGTCCACAAGAAGTATGAATCGTAGGAGTAGTCGCATCTTGTCAAACTTTATTGATAGATAATTGTCGCTTTTCGTCATAGCTTAGCTCATAATGCCTTGGTCTACCCTTTCATTGGCTCCATTGTGCGGGTTCTGTGGGTATGGGGACCGGCAGGTTTTGAAGATCTTAGATAGTCGATCTCAAGTATCATAGCTCATTCCAGTTAAAACTTAAATCCAATGTTTACCAACTTGCCTTTAGCTCTGGGACCTGAGTATGCTATTATATATACTTCAATCCATCGCTGTACTGCTGTTTTGTATTCCAATCGACACAATACGCAAAGCTGCTCCATCTTGTGAATAATGGCTTCAAACAACCTGCCCAGAGCCTTTGGGAACGGCGACGATGAGAAGGAGGTCGTGGGTCTTCATGAAAATGCTCCATCTCCCGATCTACTACCGCCCGATCCAGATGCACATTTGAGCGACGAAGAAAAGGCTGCTATTGTGAGATTATGGACATCTCAATGGAATTCCAATAATGTACTGATTTGCTGTGCAGGATCGTAAGCTGGTACGAAAGCTCGATTGGACTTTGATACCATGGGCAAGTGATCTTCAAATCTCCAGCATATCTGCCGTCTAACTTCGACAGCTCTGTGTTCTCTACCTACTCGCCTTCCTCGACCGTTCAAATATTGGAAACGCAAAGATTGACGGCTTGCAAAAAGACTTGAATAACATGTCGACTGGTGATTACAACGCCGCACTTTCCATATTCTTTGTCGCGTATGCATTGTTTGAGCCTGTTACGAACGTGATGCTCAAAAGATTTCGCCCGTCGATATTCGTACCAATCATCATGTAAGTAGTTTGGTGTTGCTCATACTGTGCACCAAAATCCCACAATGACAAAATTTGGACACTGACATCGTTGCAGAATTGCATGGGGCTTGTGTATGACATTCATGGGATTCGTCACGAACTGGTCCGGGTTGATGGCTGCACGATTTTTTCTTGGTCTTGCCGAGGCGGGTTTGTTTCCCGGTATAAGTTACTACCTATCTTGCTGGTACAAGAGATCCGAGTTTGGTGTTCGAATTGCAATATTCTTTTCCGCAGCTGCTGTATCTGGTAGTTTTGGTGGATTGCTTGCTGCGGCAATCGTTAAAATGGATGGTCTTGGTGGACTTCACGGATGGGCTTGGATTTTTATCTTGGAAGGAATCGTCACTGTCCTGGCTGGAATCGCTTCATTCTGGTTGGTTTATGACTTTCCGGAGAAAGCTAGATTCCTTTGTGATGCCGATCGAAACAGGGTCATCCGTCGTTTGCAAGCCAACGGTCAGGCAGCAGGCCATGAAGATTTCAGCACAGAGATTATCTGGCAAGCATTCAAAGATTACAAGACGTGGCTCGCGATGACAATCTACTCTGGTTGTTGCGTGAGTTTGTACGCTTTCTCGCTATTCCTTCCTACAATAATTACCCAGCTTGGCTACACAACAACCAAAGCTCAACTCCTCTCCGTCCCACCTTATGTAGCAGCAGCCATCTTGACAGTCGTGATTGGATTCATCGCCGATCGTACAGGTCAGCGAGGCTTGTGTAATATCACCGTGTCTTCCCTTGCCATTGTCGGTTTCTCTATGCTACTAGCTAGCGAGCAACCAGGCGTCAAATACGCGGGAACTTTCCTCGGCGCTCTCGGTATCTATCCTTGCGTAGCCAACACTATCTCTTGGATTTCCAACAATATTGAAGGCTCTTACAAGCGAGGTGTTGTTCTAGGAATGATGATTGGATGGGGTAATATTTGTGGCATCATCAGCTCAAACATCTATTTCCAAAAGCCCAGATATATTACCGGCCACACTGTTGTTATTTCTTTCTTATCTCTTTTCTTGCTAGGCGGAAGTACCTTACTACGATTCCTATTGGAAAGAGAAAATCGCAAGAGAATTCGGGGCGAAAGAGATGCCTGGGTCGAGGGCCTCAATGAGACTGAGAAGAAGGCTTTGGGAGACAAGAGACCAGACTTCTTATACACTTTGTGATCTAATGGCATTCTTGTTTGGGTGAATAGAGTTCTATAGATGACGGGACAGATATAGACTTACAAATAATTGGGGATGCAAACTACATACATTATTTTAGAAGCCTTGTAACTATGGATAGGTGTACGGATTAAAGAGGAAAGCTTTTATGCTCCCCCTCTCTTTTAAGACCCTAGGATTGTTCCAAATAGTCCTATACAATCATTCTTATACCCTCATATTATTATATAACTGTATGGTTTAGTTTAACAATAAAGAATTTACATGATGCGAGAACTCTTCATCAAAATCCAAACATGGTGATTTTCTCGCAGGCTCTAAAACACTCGTTCTGCTGTTTGGATTCGAAATCGAGCGGGTAATCTGATACAAAGAGTACCGCAAGGCCACTAGACCTAGATTCCTATCTCTACTTTCACACTTGAATGAAAAAGGTCCCTGTCGTGCCTCTCACACTTGGCCTGGAACAATGTTTAAACAAGCGATTTGGAGCTTTCCATCAATTTGAGTGATAGATGATTTATTAGCGTCCTGTGGTGCCCGGTCACATCTCATTCAATAATTGAGACTTAAAAATGACCCGCAGACGTTGATTAATTGATTATTCGCCAACCATCCGAGCCACCCTCAGCTGCAAATCCAGATGTTTCCATTCGGATGTGTACCTAGATGTGTACCTAGATTGAAGTGTTACAGCGATTAGAGCTACCAAAATCAGGTTCTGATGCCGGAGTTTGCTGACGGGGAAATGTTGTATGGAAACCATTGGTGTATTGACGTAGGAGTTTTTGGAGGTGTTCTATAAAGAATGTATCAATTTGTCAATAGATGCTTTTGTGCCATTCACGCTCAATTATGATGATGACTTTTTATAGAAGAGGTTTTGGTGGGTGCAAGGTGACAATGCCGGACTGATTATGTAATTAATTCACTTTACGTCTGTCGCGTCGTCGCGTCTCCTTGATATCAATTACCACTTCAAATTAATTCCCTACATTGCAACGAAATCTCTTGGGACCCTGCCATGATGGTCAAACCAAATTCAACTCCAGCTAAGACTCAGAAATCAATATCTAGTTTCTTTACTCCAAAATCTAGTCAGAAACCTCAGGATTCAAGCTCGCCACCTGCTACTAAAGCCACAGGAAATTTGTGTGACGCTGATAGCAACGAGAGAACCGATGAAGCAGCAAAAACCACTGGAAATCGTTTGAAGAGAGTTCTAGAAGAAGATGAAACCGGTGGGAAT